AGTAAGTCAGGGGCCTTGGTCGCAAGGATTTTGAGGGCAGGATATTTCTGGCCGACTATGAGGGAAGATGCGAAAGCAATGGTGAAGAAGTGCCTGCAATGTCAAAAACACGATCCTCTTATTCACCAACCAGTAGAGGCGATGACAACGATGAGTGCTCTTATACCATTCGCCCAGTGGGGTATCGACCTGGTGGGGCCGATGCCCCAGGGAACCGGGCAAAGGAAGTTTTTAATAGTGGCGGTCGATTATTTCACAAAATGGGTGGAAGCCGAGCCTTTAGCGAAGATTACGGAGGGGAAAGTAATTAAATTTTTATACAACAACATCTGCTGTCGGTTCGGCATATCCAAGGTGTTGATCTCCGACAACGGCACTCAATTTAATGGTAAGCAGATTCGAGCGTAGTGTGAAGACATGAAAATCGAACAACACTTTGCCTCCGTTGCTCATCCGCAAGCCAATGGCCAGGTGGAGGTAACCAATCGGATCATACTGAATGGGCTGAAAATGAAGCTGGAAAAGGCCTCAGGAGCATGGGTCGATGAGTTGAGCTCGCTGCTTTGGGCATATCGCACCACCCCGAGATCGACAACAGGAGAAACCCATTTCAGCTTAACTTATGGAATGAAAGCATTACTGCCGGTTGAAGTCGAGCTATCATCTCAGAGGTCAAGCGCGTATAATATCGAGAAGAACGAAGATCTAATGATGGTCGCTCTGGACACTATCGATGAGCTGCGGGGGAGAGCAGCAATCAGGGTCGAGGCATACAAACAGAGGATGCGAGCTGCTCACGACAAAAAAGTGAAAATTCGCAGACTCCAAGTGGGAGACCTGGTATGGAAGCGCGTCGACATGCTCAAACATGTGGAAAAGATGGAGCCAAACTGGGAAAGACCATAATTGGTCGAGCGAGTGCACGCAGGAGGAGCGTACTCGCTGAAGGATGCTGAAGGCCGATCACTTGCCAGGTCATGGAACATAGCTAATTTGAAAAAATATTATGTGTGAAAATTTTTGTTTCTTTTGGAAAGAAAGCTGAGAAATTCAAATGAAAATGTAAATTGCAAAGTTTGCTCAAAAGATAATGAAGTTCAATGATCTTTCCAATTTTATTTGCTTTATTGTACATCTTCTTATGCTTGGAATGTTGCTATGATTTGAATGACATTATGTGTATGGTATAGATTGACTTGAGAATCGCTTGTTTAGAATATTCCTTGGGGTGGGCAGGCTGGTCGAAGACCTCCTGTTTAGAACATTCCTCGGGGTGGGCAAGTGTGAAGACCAAAACCCACCATGAATAAGACCCTTGGGCTGGGTGGTCGCTTGTTTAGAACATTCCTTGGGGTGGGCAGGCTGGTCGAAGACCTCCTGTTTAGAACATTCCTTGGGGTGGGCAAGTGTG